ATTCACCTCATCCTCAATATAGAACCCCATCCCATTTCTGAATAGTTTCAGTAGTCCTTAGGCCATTGATATATCTAGAACTATATATCTATAATATATTATGGAAGATATCTAGAACACAAGCATGGAGGAGTCTACAGAAATAATCCTTGCAATAGGTATAATGTTTAAAAAAAAACTAAAGCTAGAGTTTTAAGTTAATCTGCAATTAACATACAATGTAGCTAGAGTGGCTGAGTAGTTAGCATTGGCTTATGCGGCGGCGGCGGCCTGTGCGGTGGACACGTCGGGAGCAGCGTGTGACGCGTGAAGTGCGACTCAGGCCGCGTGCGGAGCCCCGAACAGGCTAAGCAATCGATAGCCGACGAATCGACGATCGAAAACGTTGCCAACGTTTTCAATCGTCGATTTTAATCGACTTAATCGATTAACTGTTGCAGCTCTACATTTCTGCCTTGCAGCACTGGGGGTCCCCGGTTAGGACACTAGCTTTATAGAGTTTGCGGGTTTCCTGACACACTCCAAAAGGCATGCTAGAAGGGTAACTGGCTCATCTCTAAATTGGTCCTTTATGCATGTGCAATAGGGACCTTAGATTGTAAGCTCTTTGAGGGCAGAAACTGATGTGAATGTGCAACTATGTAACGCGCTGTGTAAAAATGGCAGTGCTATATAAATACCTGCAATAAATAAATATTGCATTGAACACTAGTCGGTCTCAGTCTAATTTATATCAGAAGCCACCTGGCAACTGTCTGGTAATAGAAAAGACTGGCTTTGTTGTAATTTAATATATTAGAAGGATAGGTTTTCATGGACTGTTGACAAAATAAGCAATATCTACATGTCTGTCAATTCTGGATGAACATAAAACATCTGAGAAAAAGAAAATACAAAACTTTGTAATGTATCAATTTAAAGTGTGCCCAGCTGAGTGACTGTAGACCCATCTATACCAAGACAGTTATTGAGTATCACAACTACGTCTTATAAATGTCGCATTTTCTTTTTTTAAACATGAAATTTAAAAATGCAAAAGCGATAGGAGTAGAAAAAAAAATAGTTGCTATATGTTACTGTACATTCTATATTGCCCTTTGCATAAATAATGATTAAGACATATCAGGTGATAAGGCATATCAAGTGACAATAGGTGTATAGATACTGTATATAGCTCTACCTATATTCTAAGGCAGCCTACAGTTTATGGCACTGCCTCACAAAATGATGGATAAAATAGGTCCCAGTTTTTAATTGGTCACATGCTGACATGAAGCATCATTGTTGGTGTATTGTACCAGATTTTATTATACCAATGGAAATCAAAGTTGACTTTCACAGAATAAATGTTATTATTAATGACAATAATATATCATAGTATCATGATAGCAGTAAGGGCAATATATGACAACCAATTGACCCTGTATAATTCACATACGTAAAATTATGGTTGAGTCCATCTTTTCATCGCTCGGATAAACTGAAAACCAAAGGGTTAAACTTTGCACTACCTTATTAAAAAGCCTATTAGAGACAGATAAGGAACCTTAAAAGGAAATACAATTAGGTACAGCTTCCATATAATGGACATAGTGTTACAAAAGTGCCCTGTAATGCTTCCTCTGGTATGCTGTAAGAATATCTATACCAGAAGAAGCCTCAAGATTGCATATTTTAATAGTTGTTGCTTGGCACACCATCAGAGAAAATAGATTTCGGTCAATGCAAACTGTGTTAGCAATGGAATGTTTACAAGCTGAATGTATCGGCACAAATCCATCCTGTGCAACTTTAGAAAGTTATTTTCCTCTTTTAAATCTCCTTTAGAAGAATCTACAGTGCAAAGCTATTAGCAGCATAAGGCGAATGAGAAATTCTAAATATCCTTGTGGTGGTAATATACAGGGTTTTTTTTTTTTTTAAACTGCCTTAGAAATGTTCATTTTGATGCGAACATTTACACTGTACAACTATAGCGGGGGGAAATGTATGAAAACTGGAGCAGACAGAATCTAGAGCAGTTGCCCATATCAACCAATCAGCTTCTCTCAAGAGCTAGAGACCCCACGTTTTATGGGGTTTATGACAAGTAACTAATTTACACCAAGCTGTGCGCTGCACAAAGAATTGCCAATAGTGGTTGTTATCACATTCCGCCTTATTTTGGGAGATCAAACAGATTGGGTGGCTTGTAAAAAGGCAGTAAGCAGTGTCTTACTGCAGTGTTCCTGACTTTATATCCATAAAGTTATAATAAAATGAAAGATCTCTTATCCAGAATGCATTGGGGCTTATTAAAGGCAAATAGGCTGTTCACTTGACAAGGGAATTTTCCCTTAGCTTAGTGAAAAGTCACTTTACAAAGAATACCCAATCATGTGCGGAAGGGGAACAAAAAGTATTTTTATTTGCACATCATTGGATGATAGAAGTCAGCAGAACTCTACCTCATTCACTAAGCTATGGGAAAGTTCCCATGTAACGTGAAAATGCCCTTGCATAGTGAACAGCCTATCTGCCTTTAGGGCCCATTTACATTTATGTTTCCAGACCCAAAATGCATCCTAATGTATCCCTATGCTATTTCTGGCCTCTGTTCACACAAGTGCAGTCCGTTCCAGACCAGACCAGACAAAATACTGCATGTCTCATGTTGTCTGAACTGGAATGCACTGAAACTGCAGCAGGTTCACACTATTTTCCAGACCAGATCTGGTCCGGAAAATGGTGTGAACCTGCCCTTAATAAACCCTATGGAACCAGTGGTTTCAGGGTAAGAAGGTATTTATTCGTTCAATCTGGATAATGCACATTGCATTCTAAATGATGTATACAGTAGTTGTAGCTCTAACTGTCCTTGGTATTCGTATTATTTGCTACAGCAGTGCTCCTCACTGTGACTCTAGTACAGGACTTTAAAAACCCCAGGAGACAAGAAGCCAATGCAATTACTGATGACACCTAACTGACTGAACTTTCTAAGATTGGATTTAGTAGTTCCTAAATGCTATAGCAATCTAATAGCAAGTAAGGTATGACATTGTTCATACAGCAGCAATATATATTCACACCTTTCCAAGCAATATTTTTACAATGTATAACTTTAAAATAAATCTGCAATGAGTTTTTAGGCATCATAGGTGAAGTTTAGAAACACCTAAAAAAAGTAAAAGCTGTATGCACCGTCTAACATTACACATATATTATAGCAATTCTCACTTGTGTATCAACGCGACCCTTGCACAAGTATAAAAATATTGCACATTCACATACAGAAGACAAACAAGTGACCTTTCATATTAGAAAGTGTATCACCAGAAATCGTATTTCACTGTTTATTACTATATATAAAAGCACAGTACATTTCCTGCTGTTCAGTACACCTCGAGCATACAATCAGTGGGTGTCATTCAACGTTGTGTTCACACCTGCATAGTCAGATGTTAAAGAGTTGTGGGACATAGCTAGACAGTATCTATGTCTGTGTACTTCAGGCTACATTCTAACACAATCAAAGCTCACGTGCCTTAACAAAATTCATAAATTAAACATATCCAACTGTCCCTGCCACATTCATCAAAGTCATTTCAATTACACAGTAGCAATACGTACAGACAAGAAAAAACTAAAATCCTCTGTGATGCAAATCAAGAAGAAAAAAAAAAGGATAAGACTTTTTGGACATTTTTTTTCATTATATAGAAGAATGTGCCAGTAAGAACAAAGTGTTCAGACTTGATCAAACTACAGATAATTGTGGGCAGATGAGTACTCTCAACCCCTGCTAGACCAACCAGGCTTGTCAGGATAAAACACATTTATATGCATGTTTTTTTTCCTTCTTTTTCAAAATTGGGTACAATAAATGTTAGGAAAGAGAGTTTGTATTTGTACTAGAATACATAATTAAGGGTTTGACACTTCCCTTATATTGCTATTCCAGTAACTTGCAACAAACAGTTTGTTTGTATACATAATGTTTATATTTTAAAACATTACTGGTACCTGCAAGACAATCCATCCTTATACTGCATACAACATAATGGAAAAGTTCAGAATAAAAGTAATATACTAGCGCTCAATTCACTTCATTAGATTGTTTCAGATAGTTATTAATATGATACTGTTTATAGAATACGATTCACATATGCTCTGTCTCTAATGGCTTACTAAAAAAATAATATGTTCCCCTTATACAAGATACAGAAGCGTCACAGAACATTAAAAAAAAAACTGCAAACCCCCTAATTTTTCCTTGCTCCATATACAAAAAGTTACAAAACAATTTTTTTTGGCAGAAAACATTCACACAACAAATATTGTAACATATTCTTTATTGAGTCTGAGTTATTAAAAGGTAGGTGCAGTTTATAGAAACGTGGTTTTTGATATAAACTGCATATCTCTTACAAAAACAGTGCAAAAGTATTACTGTGGAGGTTTCCTAATTAAGGATTAAAAAAAAAAGCTTATACATGCTATTTATTGTGTCAGTCCCCATGTAGTACATGCAAAAATTTGCACTTCTGTTGGATTCCCACAACATAGTTTCACAAAGCTATTAAATAAAATAAAAAATTATATATAACACATAAAAAAAAACAAAAAAAAAAACTTGAGGCAGTTATTGTTCACCGAAAACTTGGTTGGCAAATAGTTTTACTAAACTGAAAGCAGGGAAAACAAAACAAAAAATTGTTGCTGTGCTAATATTTTCTTTTAAAATCCCTTTGTATGAATGACGTCCCCCGCAACAATGAAAAGCAAAAGGAACTAGTCTTTATGTATGGATGTTTTGCATGCGAATTTCAAAGTCTGAAGAACAGAGTAAATTATAATGCAGCAATAAAACTTCACAGTCAGATGGAGGCATTCAAAAGCCCTGCATGGAGTCACTGTTTTTGTTTCTGTTCTATTTTTCCAGCAGGGAGTGAGAAAGAGCAAGCTCAGGGATAGATACATTATATGTACATTAAGTTC